ACCACAGTGCAGATTCAGGGGAGGGCTCCTGCTGAATCCAAGCATGGGGGATACTTTCACAAAGCTGTTTTCCACCACTATGGCTTTCCATGCCACTAGCCAAGCTTAGCCCCTTAGAGTCAGCTTCATTAAGAAAGGGTAGCCCTGGCCCATACCACTAAATGAGAAAATTGGACTGGGTTGTCAGCAACAAAGATGCCAACAGAAGTAACCTTCCCGGATGCGCACTAATGCTGAGGCTTCCTATTCTTTTGCTCTTCACGTTAAGAAACACTGTTTGTGTTGGGGCTCTGGGGTTGTGTGTTGCTGTGCATGCAGGTAGTCCGCAGAAGCAGTCAGGAGGAAAAGCTACTCTGCTTGGTGCGTGAGCGAGCAGGCCACACATGTGAGACAGCCGTGATTGTGATTCTCATCCTGGTCTGGGAGGGAATCCCAACAAGCCTGGCTGACAAGCTCTACTCTGAACTCACTGAGACCCTGAGGAAGTACGGCACGCTCACGAACCGGCGTTGCGCCCTGAATGAAGAGTAAGTGGAACAAAGGGTATGCTCGCCAAACTTGCAAGCCCACCTTTGGCCTCAGACCGTGCACCTCCACTCGTGCTGTTACCCTGAAATACACATAACCTTTCCAGCTACTGCAGGAAGTTTGAAAACCCACAAACCTTGTGATCAAAGCAAAGTAAATGTTCTTACAGATCTGGGAAAAACATCTTCCCAGAGCTGTGAAGCATCTCAGTGTATTTAAAGGAAGACATCTCAGCCCAGGACAGCAAATACCTCAACCTTGAAATAAAATCATGCTGTAAGCCCACAGAAGCTAGCCTGAACCTGAAGAAACTGCACTGTATTGTTTCCCATGTCTTTCTGACAGCAAAGAACATTTAGACCCCAATTAACATAGCTATCATTGTATGTTACTTTGGCTTCATGGGTAGAGTCATATTTCAGGAATTATTGCCTAGCCCCTGTCAGAGTGCTTCCATGTTACTGCAGTGCCATGAGCATATGCCCCTTTCAGGTACCATGAATATCACTACCTAACAAGGCACCACACAAAAATACCTGCTTTCGAGCAAAGCCAGGTTTCTCACAGAAGTGTAGAAACCCCTTAGTCCTTGCTTTGCAACCATGAAATTATTCTCTCCAATGAATTCTTCTGTTCTAATGCATACAGTGCCTCCCTCTTTCATTTCTTCATTATTTACTGGTGGCAGGTGATCCAAGACATGTGACTCCCCAGAGGGCTGGCAGAACACTGATGCCCACTGTGGGAGTGCCCTGGGGTGACCTGCCTGCTCCTGACAGCCATATTCTCTTGTTTTTCAGGCGGACTTGCGCATGTCAAGGGCTGGACCCTGAAACTTGTGGTGCTTCATTTTCCTTTGGTTGCTCCTGGAGCATGTACTACAATGGTTGTAAGTTTGCCCGAAGCAAGATTCCAAGAAAGTTTAAGCTGATGGGGGATGACCCAAAAGAGGTTGGTGTCCGTTTCTAAAATGAGCCTCATTTGCAAGGAGATGTTTTCTGTCACTCTGCAAATAGAGATACAATACAAGAGACCAGGGGCCAGAGTCCTGCCTGCATGGCATACATGTAGGGTAATTAAATAACTGCCAGACAAAACTGATTGATTCCAGTCTCCGAGCCAGCTGAATTGACTGTCCAAATTCTGACATCTGGTAAAAGCTTGAGACTTGAAACCACATTTGCAGGCTTTCACAATTAGAGGGGAGGGCACAGCCTGAATAATTGTGACTGCATGAGGCCTGCAGTTGGGCATTCCCCAGTGGCAGAGTGGATGGTTTACCAGCTGAAGGCACATAATAGCGTAGCGAGGAGTCAGAGCAGCATAGGAACAAACATGATGAAACTGTGAGATGACAATAGGAAGAGAATAGGAAGATTCATTTTACATACAGTCCTGTCCCACTGAATGTTTCCAGACTGGTCTCCGTGTTACAGCAAGCTGGCAACCGTTTAAAACAAGTCAGAGTAATTAAAAAAAATCACTGACCTTAGCCTGGGCACAAGATACCACTGAAGTCATGACTGCAGTGACCCTTTGACGCTTCCAGCTAGTCATGTGTCTGGGAGGTTCCAGTGGCCTACTCTGATTTTTGGCAAGCACATGCAAATTTAGTCCCTTGCCTGTGTACTGATGCATGAGGCCACAACTTTCACTGTATTCTGGTGTCTTACACAAATCCAGACATTTCTTCCATCGGAGAAATAATTTCATCTTTAATCAGGGAGCCAGGTACTTCTGCATCCTACAGCCTGTGCCTGTGCTGAGAATAGCACACTGTTTAGAATATCATAGAATCCTAAAATGGTTTGGGTTGGAAAGGACCTTAAGATCATCTAATTCCAACTCCCTGCCTTGGGCAGGGACATCTCACACTGGTGTTGCCCAAGGCTCTGTCTTGAACACTGCCAGGGATGGGGCATTTACCACTTCTTTGGGCAATCTGTGCCAGAGCCTCACTTCCCTCACAGTAAAGAACTTCTTCCTTATATCTAACCTGAACTTTCCCTGTTGAAGTGTGAACCCATTACCCCTTGTCCTATCACTACAGTCCCTGATGAAGAGCCCCTCTCCAGCATCCTTGCAGGCCCCCTTTGGATATTGGAAGGCTGCTATCAGGTCACATAATTAGCACACAGCTTTTCCTCCCCACCACTCCTCTTCTACAGCCCCAAGTTTTACAGAATAGCTTTCTTTCAATTGTGCTGTGGCACAAAGCCTTCTTTATCAGAGCTTGCAATTTTCTAAGCTGGATACCTGGCCAGAGGTCACCAGGGCACTCGTCCAACTTGCATTCTTGGATTTACTTCCCATGGAAGCCACATCTGGGCTGGGAAGATGGTTTTACCCTCCAGTCTTGCTCCTACACAAAACTGGGGGGCAACCAAAGCATGAATCCAGATCAGGGGCTGGGTCCCATAGCACAGACACAGCTTCCAGACAACCCAAACAGGATCCTCACCAATAAAAATATGGAAGTAACACTTAAAAATGGTAACCTGCAAAAGATCCAAGTTCTGGCAGCAGCACAAGGTCACAGCAAGATATTTCTGACAATTTTATAATGTCATTTTGGAGTCCCAAACTAGCATATAGTCCCATAGGAGCAAATAAAAACTTAATGCACCAAATATATCTCTCTCAAACCTGCAGGCTTTTCACAGCTCTTCACACATTCCTAAAATACGCAAGTATACCACTTCAGTATGCCACTGTTCTTTATGTGCTTGTAATTACATATAAGGGCCTCATATAAGCAAGGTTTTCAATTTGGGATTCTCATCTCGAGAGGCTGGGAACAACTTTGGAGTATGTTATTATGGTACTTCATTTTTAAAGAGCCTTTCATTTTGAGAGTGTGTACCTCTCTGTAAAGGAAAAAAGTGTGGTCATTCCTACCTCCATATCACCAACTACTAGGCACATCCACAATTCTTCATTGCTTAAGAATTGGGAACTTTCTGAAGTCTGAAATATTTAAACCATTTTAAATTGCTGCATGAAAAGATGTTGAAGTGCTGTCATTGCAATGTGCAAACCCCTTAAATTAGCCACATCTACTTTATGGACCATTCTGATACTATTTCTCCCAAGTTCCCGAAGAGTATTATTTTCCCAAAACTCCAGTAGGAAAAATAATGAGGATCATCACGCTTAGATCTAAAACATTACTGTGTTGAAGACTGTGATTCTTCTTAATATTAACCAAGGTAATATAGTATGTGATTTCCTCTTGCAAGGGCCACACTACACTATTTCACTACTTCATTACTTTTAAGTGCAGTGAAACAATAAAATTGAAAGGAGATTCACAACAGTTATTGTCTAAACAGGAATAATCATCTAGGCCTTTATACAACTATCAGTGTAAACATAACTGTGTACAGACCCTAAGTTCTTAGATCCCATACATGCAGTACAGAAACGTCATTGGCATTGAAATCTCTATTTCATCTCCTAACAGGAAGAAAAACTAGAGTCCCATTTGCAGAACCTGTCAACCCTGATGGCACCTACCTACAAGAAACTTGCACCTGATGCATATAACAACCAGGTATGCTGGGGATAAAGGGAATTGGAGCGGTCATGTAAATAACCTGATCTTTACCACACTTTCCAGTGCTTCAACCTTGCCCCAGATTATCACATACGTTTTGTGCCAGTATTCCTTTGACACTGGGGTTAAGATGAATGGAAAAGAACAATTCCATTTACAATGCTTTCAAAAGTAAAAGCAGCAGAATTTGGTACATCAAGTAGAACTTTTCACCTGCATCAACACAATAAAACTACTTCAGATTTGAGCAGAACTCTTCAGCTCCACAACACAAATTTCTGGATTTAGTGTGAGTCACCAGCCAAACTAGAAAACAGCCATGAAGATGGTGTGAGATCAGTGGCAGAGCCAGAAGGCAGTGTGTAATATTGCACTCGAGTCCTGAAGCCACAGTTTCAGTTCTGCTCTCTCAAGTGGCAGGTGAATTTAGTTTTCCCAAAATAGCTATTTCAAACATGCTTTTAACGAGAAGTTTCACATTTGGACACAGCCCTGCATATGCGCACAAGTGCCTGCACCAGCCTTCCAGCATGAGGGCATCGCGTGCAGGTATTTTCTGTGAAGCAGTCTCCACACATACTAGCACGTTCAAAGTCTGTGTGAGGTTCCCATCATGGCTGTCTCTCACCTGCATTCCTCTACCAAACATCCTTCAGGTATTTGCATCAAAATTTAACAATATACCTGTTGCAAGCGCACAACCATTGGCCTTCAGTTTTGCTGCTCAGGTTTGCTCCAACATTGCAACAGAACTTAGAGTCCCCAAACTATCAGGGTCACTGCAAACTATGACATCTTTCTGTCCTGCTGACAATGTTATGATGTAGCAACCACCACAAGACACATTTAAATCTCACTCCTTTACTACATATTTAGTATCAACTAAATCAGGAGAGACTTGCCCAGTTTCACTTACCTGATCAGACAATGTTTGGAGCCTCACAGAGGAAACTGTGGCCATGTGCCCACTAGCTGTGGTTATCTGTCCAAATATCTGAGAGACATTCTGCAAGAGGAAAGGAAGAGGAAGAAGAAAAAAAAAGCGAGGGGGAGGTGAACAATAAAATGGTTCTTTGCTTGGTCTGCTTCTCCGTTCTTGCAAATCTTCACAAAAGAACTTTTCTCCACGTAAGCCACGGTCCTGCCCAACAGTTGTTGAAGATACATGCTTTTACAAGTTTCAATTTCTACCTTGTGTAATAAGGTGTGTGCATGGCTTGGCTTAAGTCAGGAGTTTTATGCAGACTTTGTGGGGAAACCCTGATCAAGCTACTGTTAGTGGCTTTTAAGAGAGATGACTGAGGCCAAATTTGTACGGTAATATAAAAGGTTCTAAACCCAGAAAGCCTTAAAACCAATCCCCCTTTGAATCCTGAAAAGAAATTCTAAAGTCCCAGGTTTATTCTAATCCAGATCTGGATTGCTAATGGATTAAAAGCTAGAACTGGAAAGGGTCTGTTTTTCTAACTGGACCCAACAGCACATCTCAGAGAACAGTTGCACCAGGATACTTTAATCAGACAATTATAGTCTGGCTAACATTTCAGATCACTCTCGTTTCATTCTAAAGAAGTTTACATGTTTCAAGTTTTGGGTTGTGGTTATTTTCAGATTCCAGGGAAATAAACATTCCAAATTTTAAAAAATAAAGGTCTGCGAGCAAACTATGCATCTTTTTAGGGCAAAACTTCTACTTTTGACTTAACTTAAAACAGGATTCATTAAGTTCCATTATGTTCTATTAAGTTTAATTTTTTTGCATTTATTTGAAAGGTTCAGGAATTTCAGCAAAGCATTTTACAAACATGGTTTAACTTTTTTACTTTCTAGACAAAATACAAACCCATCATTTGTCTAAGGCTTGATCTTCTATTACAAAATCCTGTCTTTCTGTGTAAGGTTTATTTTTTCATTATGAACTCTTTGTAAAGCTCCTTAATAATGAGTGCTGGGGTAGAAAGCACTGTCTTGACTCAATCATCTGTCTTTCTGGTGTAGAGTTAGAGTTGTACTTAAGCTAATGAAATATATGTTTAGTGTGTCAAAATATTACAAATCAAAAAGCAAATTATTATTTTTCATGAAGTCATTCTGAAGTCAGTTTTCTAAAGCCATTTTCGCTTAATAGCTTGGTGTATTTCCAGTCTACACAAACACATCACTCTTACAGTGCCAGACTCTGAAACCATGCACTGCATTTGTCATGTAAAAACACCAACCACCGGCAGAGTATCAAAAGTAGTATGCAAGGAAAAGTATTATTGGCCAATTTCACAATCAAACCAGAGACGGAAGGTAACGGGAGCAAAGCAGCAAGGAATGAAGTACGGATACTAAATTGCCATCAAGTTACTTGATTTTATTTGCTTTCAAAATCTGTATGTTGCCACCTCCAAGATGTTAGTAGACTTGCATGTTGTCACAGTAGAGTATTCAGTGCTAATTCTGTGTACTGGGGCACACAGCTCAGCTGCAATGGTATCTGTCACCTCTTTCCAGATCGAGTATGAACACAGAGCACCTGAGTGTCGCCTAGGTTTAAAAGAAGGTCGCCCATTCTCAGGGGTCACTGCCTGCCTGGATTTTTGTGCTCATGCTCACAGAGACTTGCACAATATGCAGAACGGGAGTACACTGGTAAGTCTGAGATGCATGTAAGCCTCCTTACTCCAGCACTGATTTCATACATTTAATTCGTTATCTCCCCGCTGTTTAAATTTACGCTTACATAACACAGATGGCTAAAAAAAAGAAACATCAAGCAGTAACTGAGCTAACTTACTACCCCACACACAATTTTTCAGTCAAATGAATGAGACTCACAATGTATTTAAGAAAGGTTTAATATAGGGCTGGTAAAAGAAACTGGAGATAGCGGAAAGAAGGTCCCTGCAGGGCCGAAATGCAGTGTTCCTGGCACAAAATAGTTTATATTTGTCCTCTTGAAACATCTTTTTTTCTAACAACTTTGGATCATAACTTTAAATAAAACAAAAATAGTCCAGGGTCTGCCTTAACTGACAAGTCAACCACAACCAATACAATACATATTCTAGCTGATCTTTCTTCCTAAAACTGGCTGATGCAATGATTTTGCTACAGAAGAATTCTGTATCAGCATCTTTTTTCACTGAAATCCTCCCAATACCTGTTTTAGCTGCAGCTAACACAATGAGCGCACTGCATGACACAACAGTAACTTCCTTAAATCTTACTATTAACATTACAGTGACTTGCTCCTTTGCAAGCTCTTGGAAGTTGCCATTACAAGAGGGTGTGAAATACAATAGCAGTATGTTACATTGCACACTATTTCCAGTAGGGAGCTATGTATTATAGTGAAAAAATCTTCAGGTGAGTGTAAAGTCCCAGGTTACACTATTTTAGCTCTCTGATCATAGTACAGTGGATCACACAGTTTATTTCACATTAGGCTAATCCCTAACTGTACTGTTAATTTCAGCACAAGTACAAGAAATAGATATACATATACGCACACCTTCTGTTTCTACTAACCCTGTCTAACGGAGCAATGGAAGAAATTAAATTGCAGGCTTCTGGTGATATGCATATATTAGTCATTGAATGTTTTGAGAGACTTAGTGTGACACACCTTTCCAACAGGTTTGCACACTAACTAGAGAAGACAATCGTGAAATTGGTCAAACCCCAGAAGATGAGCAGCTCCATGTACTCCCGTTATACAAAGTCTCTGATGTGGATGAGTTCGGAAGCGTGGAAGGCCAGGAGGAAAAGAAGAGGAATGGCAGCATCCAGGTCCTTACCTCCTTTCGCCGAAAAGTAAGGATGTTGGCGGAGCCCGTTAAGACATGTCGGCAAAGGAAGCTAGAAGCAAAGAAAGCAGCTGCTGAAAAGCTTTCCTCCTTGGAGAATGGGTCTAGCAAATCTGAAAGAGAAAAGTCTGCTGCAGCACGCAACAAGCAAGGCAACTCAGAGGCGGCAAGTCATGCAAAGCAGCTAGCAGGTAAACACGTGAATCTGATTGGGATCTTTATCAGCAGTAGTAAGCTTCCTAGAAATCAGGGCCATTTATAACAAATCTCAAGAAAACTGTTGTTCTCAGCCCAAAAACATTTTAAAGTGAAAAGAAAAGAGAATTCTTCAAAGTAACGGCAATATTGTAGATTTATAAATACTAGAGTGCCAAATTGTGGTCAACTCTGGAGAAGCAGGGTAAAAAAAGTTGTAGAAGAAACCATTTATTTTTGGATAGTTAACACCTGTAGAAAGCTGGTGCTTTTTCAAACTGCAAACTCTTGCCATCCAGTGTAATGCAAAGTATCCTTAAAAGAATAGAAGTGCTAGAAGCCATGAAAAGGAGTTTGTGATGCTGCTGCCAAATTAAAAATGACCTACGCATCACTCACTGTCTACCACTCTTAGAGAACCTCCTAATTTGAGGGGATTCGAGCTTAACCTCTTTCCTACTGTTTGTACTCTCTGCTTCAAGACCAAAAGCAGAGTAGGTTTTTACAGGATGAGTTTTAAAATCCGCTTAACAATCCCTGGGAGTTTCACCAGTAGATTTGAGCATCCTGAGCAAAGGAGTTCGTCATGACTGTTCTACTGTTACAGCAGCTTTCTCAGAGAGGAAAACAGCAATGCACCCAAGGTCACCCAGAAGGTCACTGAAATACCTATGAATAGAAGCCAGTTGTCGCATGACCCAGGCTAGGGTCATAACCATTGAATGGACCATTTCACTTTAACAAATGATGGTTCTGCTCTTACGTCTTCAGTTCATCTAACTTGTTACTAAACTGTAGTCTCCGTCAGTGAGTGCCACCACTAGTTTTTTACGTAAAGCTGACAATATTTTTTTTGAGACAGTTCTATTAATACAGATGAGAAGAATTATTTACTTTTGGGAAAAAGAAGGTCACTTTGTGCACGGCTGTTTGGAAGCACTTTGATGCTCCATTTCATGGGCCACTTAAACGATGATTCAACTCTTTGGATCGTATGCATGTGACTCTGAACAGCTTGCACTGTCCTCTTTTTCCCTATTGCCACTAGCATATGATCTCACTGGATACATGCCAAAAAGGATGAGTAGCGTTAGTATTTATTCAGCTTCTAAAGGATGGTATTTGAGATATGAGAAAGGGAACCTCTGTTAACCTATCATATGATATACGTTTCTTAGAAATGTCATGGATATGTATAATGAAGGGTCTATAAAGTACAGAGTTGGTTGGTTGGTTGCTTGGGGTTTTTAAGGCTTGTTTGTTGTGTGGATTTTTTCTTTTCACATCTACAGATCTTTTACGTCTTTCAGGACCAGCCACACAACAACAGCAGCAGCAGCAACATCCACAGCGCACTCTCCCTAACAACCCTCAGTCAAATCCTATTAACTCATACTCGGGTTCAGGTTCTGCAAATCTCTATGTAAGGTTGCCTAATCCAGCCAATGCTTATTCAAGCTCTTCATACACTTCAGATCCCTATGGAGGGTCCAGTCCCATGAACCGCTATACAACCTCATCACAGCCTGCGGGGTCTTATTTGAATTCTTCCAGTCCCATGAACCCTTATTCAGGATCATTAAGCCAGAATAACCAATATCCACCTTACCAATGCAATGGAAGCATGCCTATGGACAGCTGCCCCTCTTACTTGGGCTCCTACCCTTCCCAGCATCAGCACATGGACTTGTATAGTTGCCAGAGCCAAGACCATATGTCTAAACTAAGTCTGCCACCCATACAAACATTATACCAGCATAGGTTTGGGAATAGCCAGAGTTTTGGTCCCAAGTACTTGAATTACGGAAACCAAAACATGCAGGTAGACTCCTTCAGTAATTGCACCATTAGACCAAATGCACACCATGTAGGGTCTTTTTCCTCTTACTCCACCCACGAGGCTGACAGCCATTTTATGGAGGTTACCTCAAGGTTAAAATCTAATCTGAGTAATCAGAGCATGGATTATGCCTCCATGACTAAAACCAGTGAACATCATCACATGCAACCCCTTCCACATTTAGCACATGACTACCATTCTGCTCCAAGTATGTTCAGTGGCCCTCCCAATTCACTGCATCTCCAAAATAAGGATAGTGAAATAATTTCACATGCAGTTAACGGTTTGTCTAACATGCTTCCAGGTCAAAACCATGATAGGACTACTCCCCAGGGTGGTTTAGAGAAAACTGATGTGCTGAATCCAGAAAAAGCAGAGGATCCCGATGATGTCTGGTCAGATAGCGAGCAGAACTTTCTGGATCCAGAAATTGGAGGAGTGGCAGTTGCTCCATCTCATGGGTCAATTCTCATAGAGTGCGCAAAGCGTGAGCTCCACGCAACGACTCCCCTAAAAAACCCCAACAGGAACCATCCCACCAGAATTTCCCTTGTCTTTTACCAGCACAAGAGTATGAATGAGCCAAAACACGGTCTGGCTCTGTGGGAGGCAAAGATGGCTGAGAAGGCGAGAGAGAAGGAAGAAGAATGTGAGAAGTACGGTCCAGACTACGTGCCTCAGAAATCTTATGGCAAAAAGGCAAAGCGGGAGCCTGCTGAGCCACACGAACCCTCTGAGCCAACGTACTTGCGCTTCATCAAGTCTCTTGCACAAAGGACACTGTCGGTCACCACAGACTCCACAGTAACTACATCTCCATATGCCTTTACACGGGTTACAGGGCCTTACAACCGATATATCTAACTTCACACCTTTGTTGGTTACCTCATTTGAAAAAACACCCTGTCAGTAGGGTAGTTCTTCTTTAGGTTTTGGGGAAGGCAAGGGTGGAGAAGAAAACAGTGTTTTTACAAAACTCTTCAGTGGAAAAAGCCTCAGCACACCAGCAAAAGGAGGTAATCTCACTAGCGCACTTATTTTCCACTGGTTTTTAAGTGGCCACAGATGGCACGTAGGAAACAAGACCAAAGCATCCTATGCAAAAACGAAACAAGAAAGTGTTTCACAATTTACATTTGAAAACACTGGCTCCATTACTGAAAGAGATAATCTGCAAATGGATTTTTTTTTCCTTACAGTTTTGCACATCTGTGGCCACTTTTAATGTCATCAAGTTTGCGTAGTCATGGAACAGGAGCAAAAAAAAAGCCCTAAAAAATAATACTGTAGTATTACAACTGCAGGAATCTTAAAATAACATCTGGTGCTGAATCTATGATGTACTGAAATACTGGAATTATGACTTTTTAACATGCAGTTTTTACTGTAAACGTATTAGTCTCTTGATTTTATTTAACTAAGTAGTTAAGTATAAAACATAATGAATAGACAGCAAAACACTGAATTTATTTGGATATTCTAAACCCATGGTGCTATCTATGAGAATGTTGTCTTTATTTTAACAGTCGAACAGTTAATGCCTTTATAACAAAATGTCAGTGATGTAGTCAGATGTTCTTTAGCAACAGGGACGACCTTTTCATTCATGTATGTATTGAATTTACCTGGTGTTAAAATAAGCTTACTTTTTAACATATGAGACTTGCAAAGACCTCTGGATTTTGCTCATCCAGTCAAGTCCTAGAAAAGGACAATAAAATATATAGAGAGATATTTTTTTTGAACTAGTGTTTCAAAAGCACTTTGTCTACCTAAGCTTGGCAACTTGAACAATGCTGAGGTACTAAGACATTAAAAAAAACCTTAAAAAAAAAAAAGAAAAAAAAGAGTTTACTTTGATTTTAAAATGCAAAGATAATTTTTTTAAACAACAAAAAAAAAGCTTTTAAAGACTTTTTGTTTTAGCCGTGCATCTGCTAGTGGACTACATATCCATTTTTAATACAGTCAGTTATGGTAAAAACGGGGCTTACTGGATATAAGGGAATACTTTAGTACACAAAACACACGTTTTTCTGGTGCTCATCTCACACAGCTATACTGTAAAACCGTTTTCTACAATTATTATGACAAGTTCATTACTCAAATATGTACAGTTTTAAGGAAAGGATTTTATATTAACCACAGGTAATAATTAGCAGCATGTGACAGACTACAACTAGCTAGCTTGGGCTTCTGCTGTTTCTACAGATCTGTATGCTCTTCAACTATCGAATGGCAGATTGCTTTTGTGTTGATAATTATGTACATTGTGGTGTAAGTCATTTCTCGGTGCAAGTGTCCTCTTTTTCCAGGAAGATCGAGCAGACCGATGCCTACACAAGCTGAATGAAACAGGGTTAGTTCTGTGTGATTCCGTTGATTAAATAGATAAAACATAGGCAGCTGGCTTGCTGTGGTGGTTTTAACCATTAATTTCTATTAAAAAAAGAAAAAAGCAGGAGAGTTGTATAGTAAATTAAATTGTAAACAAAACTTTTTTTAACGCAATGCTTTAGTATTTTAGTACTGTAAAAATATTAAATCTATATATATTTGGGTTTTGAGCTGAATTCACATCATGGTGCTACTCAGCCTGCTACAAATATATCATAATGTGAGCTAAAAACCACATTAAAAAGGTTTGAGTGATGTTCCTACTTGTCATATACCTCAACACTAGTTTGGCAATAGGATATTGAACTGAGTGTGAAAGTTTATATATTGTACACCATCTTTTTCCCCCAATAGCCTTTGAAAAAAAAGAAAAATATTTAAAAAAAAAACCACAAAAAAAACTCTCTCAATACTTGACATTTTAGCAAGTATCACTTGAACTTCAGCTTTGGTTTTTGTTTTATCTTGTTGGTTCTAAAAATTCAGGGATATTTCAGCTCATGTTCTCCTATGCCAACGTGTCACCTGTGTGTGTGTAAAGCTGTTGTAGGTTAAATATATTATTCTTGGGGTTTTTTGTTTTGTTTTGTTTCTTTTTCCTTCAGGGATTTGATGCTTTCCTTTTGAATCCCTTCTCTAAGTTTTCTTGTACATTGTATTGCTGTAACTAATTTTGTAAATTCATTAGCTCTTTCATTG